TAAGGTGCCAGCCACATACACCTAAGGTGGCAGGTTCGAATCCAGCCCGGGCCCATCAAACAACAATGATGGCTGCAACCAAAAAATAGCCGGGTGTTATGGCGGGCGCCTGTGGTCCCAGCTATTGGGAGGCAGAGGCAAGAGACTCGCTTGAACCCAGGAGTTGGAGGTTGCTGTGAGCTTTGATGCCACAGCACTCTACCCAGGGGGACAGCTTGAGGCTCTGTCTCAAAATAAAATAAAATAAAATAAAATAAACTATAATATCCTGGTGGATAGGATCTCCTCTATAATGTTGCTGGGATCTCCAGGGTGCCCAGAACAGTGTTAGTACAAAGCAGCAAATAAGACACTCCAAAGACCAGGTGACAGGGGTTAAGGTAAGGCCTGGGCTGCTCTGTCCCTGGACCCCAGGGTACCAGTGCCTGAACTGCTTGGGTGGAGAACTCCTCCACCCCCATGGCCTTTCTGCCAATGCTTCCCTGCCAATGCCTCCCTTTGCCCTATGAAGGAATAATCTCTTGGTTTTGGCCTTCCAAGGTTACCACGAGGTCACCCAGGTATACATACAGGTATACATGCTGCGTATAAGTGTACTACTCTGGACAGACTGCCTGTCCTGTTGCCTGAATTCAAAGCCTATTTCTACCACTCATCACCTGAGTGACCTCAAAGACCATCTTGAACAACAGTGAGACCCCCATCTCTACTAGAAGTAAAAAAATTACTAGTAGCTGGGCATTGTGGCGGGCACCTATAGTCCCAGCTACTTGGGAAGCAGAGACAAGAGAACTGCATGAGCCCAAGAGTTTGAGACTCCTGTGAGCTGTAACACCAAGGCACTCTTACCAGGGGCAACAAAGTGAGACTCTGTCTCAAAAGAAAAAAAGTAAAAGAAAAATTACTGGGCATGGTGGTGAGCGCCCGTAGTCCCAGCTACTCAGGAGGCAGAGGCAGGAAGAACACATAAGCTCAGGAGTTTGGAGTTGCTGTGAGCTAGGCAGACATCATGGCATTCTAGCCTAGGCAACAGAGGGAGACTGTATCTCAAAAACAAAATTATATAAACTTACAATAAATTATATTAAAAAACAAATGCACCAACTACTGCAAACATAGCACTTCCTAGTCACTCTGCAACATTTACTCTCACGAGATAGTCCATGTCTCTGGTCTGCCTCGTGGAAACTCAGTATGAAGTGTGCTCTTGCCTACTCGGCCCAGCTGTGTTTAGTGGTGCTATGTAGGTAGTTTAAGAGTATTTATACTTCGGAAATGGACAAATGCTACAAACCAGGGCTCTATTTTCAGAGTCAGTAGTGAGCATTTACTAGCACACCACTGGGTCAGGTGACAGTCTCCCACCTTGTCAATGTATACACTCCACAGAAGCACACCTCAAAAGCTAAAACCTAGGAGGACAATACTGTACAGAGAACAGACGGTAAGTGTCCTTTCAGCCTTCAGCAGAGTCCTGGACATCTCATTTGGCTCTGGCCTCACCAGCCACATAGCCTGTGGCTAGCAGGAGGAAGTTGGAGGGACACACAATGCCTACCCAAGCAAGGTTGGAATTGAGACTGGGTAATTGTGGCTTGGACACAGGAGACCATGTTCCTCCTCCCAGCTCCCTCAGCAGACTGAGGGTCCAAGTAAGCTACATCTCTCCTCAGCTCAGACAGCTGATTGCCCACCAGGCTCAGGGCAGCTGTGAGGAAAACTGACCACTTGTGCTGTTCACCAAATCTTCTGGGGTCTCCTTTATGGTTTGAGGATACAGTGGAAGTGAATCACCCTAGAAACACACATTCATACAAATGCACAAGACAGGAACATGTGCTGACCAAGACAATGCACATGACCTATGCAATGCAATGAATGAACCACAGAGGGAAGGCAGCCAGATCAGCCAGGGTCAATGAGTACAAGAAAAAAAGAGATTCCTCTTGAGAGTTAAATGCAGACTATAAAATAGTTTGAATGTCCTGGTGGACTTCCTGACATATATTCAGGGTGAGGCAAGAAAACAATTACTTGAGAAAATATTCATGATCATCTGTCCCCCAAGTGTCAAATTTTATCTTTTCATGTAAACTATAATATCCTGGCTCGGCGCCTATGGCTCAAGTGGCTAAGGTGCCAGCCACATACACCTAAGGTGGCAGGTTCGAATCCAGCC